CATCAATAATTTTGAAAAAAAAATGTAATCAATTTTATTTATTAACATTGCAAAAAACAATGTTTATATTGTTTCAATAAAATAAGTTTGTAAAGAATAGTATTTTTTCTCTAAAAATTGTAGTGTTCCAAACTTTAGTAGTGTACATACAAAAGATAACTTACGCATTTCGTCTATTTTATCCCTGACACTGGAGCACAATTGGTTAGCTTGTTCGCTTAATTCCTTTAAAACTTGTTTACCTTCTTCTAGTTCAGGTTGCTTGGACAAGTTAAATTCAGCTAAAGATCTGTTGCTAGCCATTAACATCTCCTTTTCAGTCTCAAGATCCTTGAACTAATATTTTTTTTAATGAGTCTTTATTCTTGAGGTATTCTATAGATTTAATTATAACGAAAGCAGAAGAATTTTACTTTCAAAGAAAAAGGTACATGTTTAGAAATCCAATGTGAACTTCAATTATTATATAATATTACATTCCTTTCGGCTGTATTTGGTACTTAATTAGAATTAGTATTCTTTACATTGCCTACCTGTTTTATATCTTTCACGATATCTTCGAATTTCCCATCATTATTCAATAATTCCTTTAGCTCATCATTATCAAGATGAGACAATAAACCCAATGCTGCAGGTATATCTGGTTCCTGATTCGATTTATACATTTCTTAAATACTAATTTGCACCAGATAGCGATCGTGGTTTCGGATTATCTTTATTTTTTTTTAAGTCTAAAGACAAAAAGTCTTATAAATACGCATTTACGATAATATGATGACAGTTCTGTTCGAAATGCTCTGACTGTTCAGAGCTCTCTCTCTCTCTCTCTCTCTCTCTCTCTCTCTCTCTCTCTGAAGTTGTTAAAATTGTTGAAAATTGAGATGGCAGTCAATTTACAATGCTATCTCGTGACTCGAAATCCAAACTAATGTTGATAACTAATGCTAATAAAATTTTATCCAAGGAAGATAAAGCTGCATTTTTATAAAACATTAACGGCTGATAACTTATGTGCCTGTATTATCAATAAGTCATGGAGAAATTTTGATTATTTTTATTTTATGCCGGACGGTGCTGCCGCCGTCTGGTGGGCGACTATTCGCGATTATTCGGACTATTCGACAGTGTGACAGTGACCGGTGAATTGTGGCAAGGTGAATTGTGCTGAGCTTTTCAAACGCGAGAAGCCAATCGATCCCGATTGATCTTGGTGCAAGAACGGCTGTCTTACTGGACGTTCCAGGATTATTTTTTCAATCTCGAACGACACTGATTACGTTGAAGCAGGGAACGTGATATGGAATCCGCGATCGGGAATCTCGAGGAAAGCGTGAGCATTTTCGCATTTCAATCTAATGAATATAAATTGTTAGCATTGGACATTCACGAAACGTCAAACATTGCTTGCGTTGTCAAACTTACTTTGTTTTCTCGTGTCACAGGTGCAGAAAGCCGATGGGAAGCTGGACATGATCGCGTGGCAGATAGACGAATTCGAGAAGGCCTTTGAGGAGCCAGAAGACGAGGTAGGAATTCGCTTTTCCGCTTTAATCAGTAGCGATTATCAGATCACATTGAGCCTATTCTTTTTAGCTGTACTTTGTTCAATTTGTTCAATACAAAATAAGTATACAGGCTATCATACTCCAGGAGATTAATTATTAATTTTTCAAGTCTTAGGCCCGGCGTTTATCTGGCGTTTTTTCATTATGCAACTAAAAGTAATCATGGCTAAAATTATCTTTGATCCCTGAAGACGAAAATTGTCTTAACTGTGGTAGCTTTGGATTGGATAATGAAAAAATGTCCCTGGTTAATTTATAGTTAAACTTAACCTTATGTTTCTTCCAATGGATTCCATATCATCATAGATGAAGCCTATTGGATAAAATGTCAAGTTAAATCTAACACATAAGTTAATGAAAAACCGTGCCTTAATAGATTGAAATCCAAAAATTATTTATTGGCTATTTTCTCTGCTGAACGCAGCCATTGTTATCGAAAGTTTGAATGGTCAAAGCAAAATTGACATTTGATCTGGAATAATTTTTATATTTCAAGTTTATGAAATATAGATAGATAAAAATAGATAAAAATAGAGAGAAAATAATGTAAAAAGTACAACTGAAAGGATGAACATTATGTCATCTGTACAGTCCTCTGTGACAGTTTACTGAATAAATTAACAATGTTATATTCCGTTTGTTGGATAATTCCTGCTTGAAGCCAGGATGATCCATATCATTTAGCATTAAATACGTCCTGTGTAATATCACGTTCGTGAATTATTCGTATGCACTTTACTGTCTGTCATGTTTTCGGATCCTTAATCATCAAACCGCTTTTCATTTTGTGCTTCCCAGATATCTGTGCTTCGCCTATTACACTCTGTCCATCAGGTTACGAAAGATTATCAAAATCTTCGTCAAGAAATTATGGAGGTTCAGCAGTTACAAAAACAGCTTTCTGATTCACTTAGAGCTCAGCTTACGCAGGTGCACGGACACTTTAATTTATTGCGCAATAAGATTGTAGGACACAAATCACCGCAGTTAAAATAAGAGTGAAATTTATTATAAGTTTCCAATATATTTTTCTTTTTACTTATTAACAAGAGAGTGCACATATTTTTTACGAGATATGAATTGAAGTTTAAGTATCACACAGTATCCAGTGAGAATTATGTTCACTTTTTGTTATATTCTTAATACTTACCATAGCAAATTGCAGAAAACGGTGCGGCCCACAATTCGGAAACAAAGATTTGAGAACACTCGGATAAAAATGTTATATATATATATATATATATGGACATATTTTATATATAAAATTGTATATAAAATATGTCAATTTTTTATATAATTATATATGAAATATTTTTT